CTGCTTACGAAGCCCTCGGAACACATCTCCCTCAGCATCAGCCAGGGTCTTCCCTTGCTCAAAGGTGATGAGTTTGGAAATTTCTTTCTGAAAATGGAACACACAAAGTTTATGAAGGTTAGAAAAGTGCCCACCCATGAAACAGAGTGCAGGGATAAGACAGCTGAATAGACAGTTGAACCGCACAATGAGCAGACTGAGCAGAACACAGAGAAACCTATACTGACTGATTTGCTCCTTGTAGACAAGAAGCCAATGACCCACACAGGTGACATTTAAAAAAAGAATCAACCATGGGTTGGCTTGTACTCTAATGCTTTCAGGTATCACACCACAGACACACCAAAAAAGCAATCGGGGAAACCCAAAGACACACTAACATACTTGTCTTCATCAACTGGCACATTCTCCATTTTTGGTCTCTTGGTAAAGGGACAAATGCAGGATAATATTCAGTAAAAAGCATTGCCTCTCTGTCCCCATTTGATGCACCTCTTGCCAGTGTCTCAGTTGGCTCCTCAATCATGGCAAGAACTCTGTAAATCCCAAGTCTTTCAATTTAATTCCTAAAGTCAGCTGCAATGCATTCAGGGACAGCCATCACACACAGCCATGGTGTCTCACCAGATTGTCTTTGATCAGTTGTTGATAACGCAGAAAGATTTGCTGACGGCTCAAAACAGATGTTTCTGACCAGCTCCAAAAAGCCTTTTTGCAAGAAGCCACAGCTGCTTCCATCTCATTTGCTGTGGCTTTTGGTACACGGCCCACCACTTCATTTGTGGCCTGAAAGAAAAACCAAATTGCATCAAAATTCAACATTTCCCATCTGTCCCTGCCAACCATTCACCAGTCATTTCCCAGCACACACCTATTATCCTTCTAGAAGGAGCTGTACTTCTGATGGGAGAGCACAAAAGAGACTCCTTCCTTGGTGCATACAAAAGGCCTGGGCTACAACTGGAGTAGTTCTGAAAACCTGCATCTCAAATTAGGCACTCAGAAAACTGCAAATGCAGTGTTCATTTCCAAGTTGGAGTTGAAATGACTTGTCTACCTTGAAGCTTCTAGAGAGTATAAGGCAAAAGTTTTTGTAAACTGTGGTCTTAACCCTCTGCGTCACCTTGGCTCATCTACTGTGTCTCTTGCACATTAAATGAGGCACTGTTCCTTTGGGAAAAGCAGTACATAACTGTGTAATTGGCATTGATGTTAGTTTACCTACATCCCTTAGCCAAAGTAATATTTTTACAAGCAACCTTAGTTCTACAGTATTTTAACTTTAAAAGCTTGACATTAGTAGTTTAACCTCCATCTAATGTTCTCTTAAAAACTGAATCTGCTTTGACATGACAAAAACTTCAGGTATATCACTAAGAGAAAAACTACTCCAAACAAGAGAAAGAAAATTAAATAAGAACATTGGTTGCCACACAGAGACCAAATGAGATACAGGAACATCGCTTGCTGCTCTGATCACTTCCACAAAGCAAATCAAAATAGAGCTTTACTGAGAAAAAATTAAGAAACTGCTGTCCAAATGCTTACTAGAGGGGTCAGAAAGGTCAGAATTCCGAGTGCAACCTCATTTCCATTTGTCTTTGGTGAAGTACTTAGACAAGTACAAGTGCTACTAGTCCAAGATTATTTTGCTCTGCATAGCATCCAACTTCTAAATTCTCTGTGATTATTGTGGCTCAGAGGCAGAAACTCTGAAAGGAGAGGAGCTTCAGTTATCAGGATTTTTCACCTTGGTCTGAGAGTGATATCTGTCTCTATCAGGACTTCACATTCAGTTGGCATCAAATTACACCAAGCTGATTTCACATACAGGGTGAAAGACACCCTTCAGAAATTTGACATATTGATCACAAAGCCTTTCTACAAGAAATAAAAATATGTAAGCAGAGTTTAAGCTTCCTTTCTGGAGATCAGGGGCTTACTACACAGGGGAGGTAAAGGAGGTAGTAACTTTTCTGAGACTGACATTTCATGGGAAAAGGAAATGGAGAAGCAATAATCCATCTTAAACTCCAAGCCTAAATCTTTCCCAAGAAATGTATGTACTCTCCCCTTTCGCTACGTCCTTGAAGAGAGGCACAGATCTTTGTTGCACAGTGCTCACAATTATAGAGACTGAGACCATTTCACTTACGGGGTTGTGGATATCAATCCATTCAGTAGTTTTGGACTCAATAAATTTCCCATCAATGAAGAGTTTGGTTGTTGGCTGTGGAGGATAAAACAGTGGACAGTGAGTTATTTTTGTCTCATGGTGCCTAAGTACCAGTGTGCCATATTGCATGCAAGCCTTCATCATTTACTGGTCTGCAAACCACTAGAGTCCAGATCCAGTCTTTACAGCAAGACCCAGCTAACTGCTCTCTGACCCATTTTCTCTCGCTTTACACCAAAACAGCCAAAATTCTTTCTAAAAGCATTTATAGAAAAAATACATTGCTATGCTTAAGTTTGGAATTATTTCAATCTACTTAATCGGAAGCTGAAAAACTGCAAGTCATAAATGTTCAGAAGAAACAGTTAATAATTCACCTTGTGAGAATTTCATGAACCCAGTGCACACTGTACTATGTGCTTCCTTTCCATCAAGCCACTAAGTAGGTTCATCTTTCCAGTTCATAGCTACAAGCATAAAATTGGACTTTTCCCACTCCCCACTTGGTTTTGCAACTAAGAGCAAGAAACCTGCATCTGTGGAGTTCACAGTGACTGTCCTGGCAGGCAGCACAGAAAACAGAACCTTCCAACTCAGATGCGAAGCAGGCAAAAGGAAAGCTCAGGTAAACATAGAGAAGAAGGGAAAGCAGGCATAGAAGCTGTAATTAGCACTAGATAGGCAACAAAACTGTATAATGCAGGAAAACAGATTAGGACTGTATAAATTAATAAACTAGAAACCAGGAGTTGATACTGGGAGATGAGGAGAGAACTAGGAGAAAGCTAGAACCTGTTAATCATGACACAAACAGTGGCTTGGGGAGAACAGATAAGAGGAAGGGGAAATGGGTCTACTATATGAAGAACAGAAATGGGATGTAAATGCAAATATAACAGGAAACTGAAGACATTAGGATGTGGAATTATGAGAGGGAGATAAGGACTGGGATGCTATCCAACGTGTAATGAAGGGAAAGAGATCAAAGGAAAGAGATCAGAGGAAGAATCATGAATATTAATGGTGTTGGTTGGACAATTAATGACAGCGAAAAGTGGATGAAAACGAAAAAAAAGTGAACAGCAATGAGAGGGCACAAACTAAGAAAGCTTGGAACAAGAAATTTAGGATGAGAAGAGTAAAATAAGTTTGTTAATGGATTAGCAAGACCTAGTGATTTGGGAGGTAACACTAGGAGAGAATTAAAAATAAAAAGTTGCAGATGATTATGTAGCTGAAATCACACTTGGGGAAGAGAGGCAGAAAGCTGTGCCTATGAAAACACAAAACCCTCTAGAACCTGGAAGGAAGCACAGGAAATCTGATTCTCTTGACTGAGTTTCCTGACTGTCAAGAGAAGGTGCTGGTCTAGTGCTGGTTTGAAGAATGACGAACTCCTATGGCTATCAATCACTGCAGTAGCCCAAGTGCCGAGTATCTGCAATAGAGCTACAAGCTCCTGTACCACAGGACCCACATGGGCTTCAGTGCAATGGAATGTATGTTTTTTTCAAATAGCTTACTATACATTAAACGAAAAGATTGCACATACAATGAAAAAATATTTTAATCAAGCCAAGAAATGCTCAATTAATATTGATCGCACTTCTTCCATAAGATCACCACCTTTTCTTTATGTAGAGAATGCCCCTGCTGTGGGAATACGGACGGCAGTAAAGCAGACTATTTGTGGAATCATGGTTTAGCTATTCAGAGTTTGGAGAGTGTGCAGCCACGGACAGCAGAACTAAAAAGGCACTACATCAACTAAAGGTGTTCGATACTGCCCCAAGGAAACCAGATCCTCTCTCTGCCGCAGATGCCAAGAGGCCAATCCACAGCCACCAGGAGTAACGGGAGGTGACTCCCTAGGCGGCCGCACCGCGACCCGCGGCGGGAGCTGCCCGGCGAGCATCGCTCAGCTCCGAAGTCCGCTCATGGAACTTTTTTCCGTCCCTCTCGTCGAGCGCGGGGGCAGTTCCGACGTTGCAGAAATACCCACTCGGAGCCACCGGGCGGGGATGGCTGGGGAGCTGCGCCGAGCCGAGCTGAGCCGAGCCGGCACGAACGGCCTTGGCAGGGCAGACCCGAGCGCCCGGGGCTCTCCCGCGCCTCCCTTCCCCCGCCAGCCCCGATCCGCGGGACGGGCACTCACCACCGAGGAGGAGAAGGAGGCGGCGACCGCGCTGGTCCAGGGGGCACCGGCTCTCCGTGGCAGCTGGACAGAAGGGGAAGCACAGACAACCTCAGGGCTCCCGTGCGTCCGTCAGCTCCCACCTCCCGCCCCCATCGGCTGCTCCCCGCCCGGGGTCCCGGGGCCAGACTTATTTTACATCAATAACGTGACTTTAAGCACATTTCTTCCAGCAAATCAAAGCGGTCCCAGAGCCGCGACCCCCCTGCGCCCCACGAGCCACGGGAGCCGCCGCGGGCCCCGGGGGCGGCCGCCTCACCCTGAGGGCCACTCCGCGCCGCCCGCCCCAGACTCCCCGCGCCGCCGCCGCCGCCATCCCGGCCCAGGGTCGCTGCTCCGCGAACCCCGACGGCGCCCCCCGCCCCGCCGCGCCCGAGACCCCGCCCCCGCGCGGCTCGCAGCCAATCGCCGACAGCAGGGCCTCCGGGCACGCCCCTCGAGCCCCCCGCCCCCCGTGCCGGGCCGCGGATTGGTGGAGGCGGCCGAGTCGCCCCTGAGCGGGCCGGACCAGGCCGGCAGCGCCGCCCCGCGGCGGCGGCGAGAGCGGCACGTGGGGCCGGGGGCGGGGCTGCTTTTCCTCCCCAGCGCGGGACCGGCCGGGAGGGCGGTGGCGTCACGTGAGCGGCGGCGGGAGTCACGCGGGGCGGGCGCGATGGCGGCTCCCGCGGACGGTGAGGCGGGAGGGATCCGGCGCTATCCCTGCGCCGCTCCCCGCCCGGCACTCACCTCCTCTTTGTCTTGCAGGCGCCGACCTGGAGGCCTCGCTGCTGAGCTTCGAGAAGCTGGACCGCGCCTCCCCGGACCTGTGGCCTGAGCAACGTAAGTCCGGCGGGCCTGAGTCTGCCGGCTCGGGGCGGCGTGGGCACAGCTCGGCCCGGCCCGGCCCGGCCCGGGGCTTCCTGGGGCAGCTGCTTGGGCCGGGCCGGGGCCAGGCGGGGTTGCGGTGTTCCCCGCAGAGGCGCTCACCCCCCGCCGTCCTCCGCTTTCTCTTCCAGTGCCCGGGGTTGCCGAGTTCGCCGCCTCCTTCAAAAGCGTGAGTGAGCGCTGCTCTGCCTTTCGCGTTACCCCCTTCCATGTGGTGATAGATCTGCAGGTTCTCTTTGCGGGCTTTACGCCCTCGTTCTGTAAACCGTATCTCAGTTATAACTCCAGTAAATGCTAGAATAAGTCTCTTGTTTTTAATGTACCTTTTGTATATGTATATCTTTTTTTATACCTTGTGCAGCTTACTGTGAATGAGAATAGCAATTTGGAAGAAGGAAAAGGTTAAGCTTTAGAAAATCCTATTTTTCATACTGATTTTGGCTTGTGGATGCCAGTATGCCATTTTTAACTCCAAAATGTCCAAGAAAAGCTAGAAAACAAGATGAAGCATAAAAATATCTCTACAGAGCATACGGAATTCTCATATTTTTGCTGGCGATGTAACTAGTTTTCAATACAAGGTCAGACTTCTTTGTATAATTCTAAAAATGTGCTTGTCTGAATATGAACTTTTGTTGTTTCTTAAACAGCCCATTACAAGTTCTCCTCCCAAGTGGATGGCTGAATTAGAAAATGATGATATTGATATGTTGAAGGGTGAGTATGGACATTGTGAGCAGAAAATGAGGTTGCTAAAGCAGATGGAAATTCAGTACTTACTTAGGAGGCTTAAAACACTTGTTCTTTAAGTGTTCTGGAAGTGGCCCCATGGCCTCAGATCTCTAGCAATCACATTTGCAGAATTTCCAGTTTAGGAGTCTCTATCTTGTTAATGATACATATTTTTCATTAAACCAGTTATTTCCAAGAGAGTATCGAGATGTTGGTGGCAGGCTGATATTTCAAAACAAGCAGTGTAATGTCTCATATATTTGAGTCATCTCAGTCATTTTCATTGCTCCATAAGTATAGCATCTCCTTATTTTGAGAAGTGGCATGAATTTTTTGAAGGGGCTCAGCTGATCACTTGGTGAGTAGCTTCGACTTGTTGATTGACTTGTTCAGAGGTGCACAACATGTGTGTCTTCCCTTAGAGATCCTACAGCTCTAATGGAATGGTGAGGCTGTATGGCAAGTTACAGAAGGACTAGCTAGCATGTAGGTTTGCTGCATGTTGCAGCTGTTAGTTTGCAGTAAACACCCTTGAGTGTGCTCTGCCTCTCATGTGAATTCCAGATGGTGGTGTGTGATCATGTCACAGTGACATGTCACTGTTACACAGTGAAATTAGCTTTGACTTGCTGGAAGAAATGTGCTTAAAGTCACGTTATTGATGTAAAATAAGTCTGTTTCTTTGCATACTTTTTTGTACCTTGTTCATATAGCAATGTGAATTTACAGAAACTTCCAAAATATGGGTCAAGTTATTCTTTGCAATAGTGGCAGATTATTAGAGCATGAACCAGAGCCTTTTTCAGTATGTTAAAATTAGGGGTGGAGTCATCTTGAATTTGGAACATCTGCTGTTCACTGGAAATAGATCTTGTCAGAAGTATGGCTTGAAAATGCTCTGTGAAGTATTAAACAGGTGCACTGTCACTAGAAGGCTATAGACATTGTTAAAATGTACACTTTTCTCTTTTCTTAGAGTTGGGGAGCCTCACTACAGCTAATCTGATGGAAAAAGTTCGTGGCCTGCAGAACTTGGCTTATCAGCTGGGACTAGATGAATGTAAGTGCTGTACACAGATGTTACTGACTGCATCACAAATCTTCCCACTAAAACGCGGTTGTGGTACATTTTTAGTTGGAAAAGTGTTTTGGCAGATCTGGGAAGTGTCTGACAGTTACAGTTAGTGATCTTCTGAAGCAGGATGAGAAAGTGAGCTTACATCTCCAACTTGTAGCCTACCTGCATGGGGGAAACAGCAGAAATAACAAGTGGTTGTGCGTCACTCTGGTGTTATCTAGTGGCATGTAGACTTCTCTTCCTGACTTATTGTTGCTTTATATAAGTCAGATCACTTTCCTTAATTTCACACTCAGATACTAAAGCCATTCCTTAGAATACTTGTGGCAGTAGTTCTCTCAAACTTCATGCACTGCCTCTACAGTGAAGCTTTCACTTGTTTGTAGGATTCTCCTGTCACTTTGTGTTCATACTGTTTTCTGCTTCTATAACTGTTTTGTGTTTTTTTTCTTAACACTCGATCATGGCAGGAGGTGATGTCATTGAGTATTAACAGTGACCTCTATCCCATTTGAAAAACAGCCAATTTTTATTGGGCTTTTTTGAAGAAAGAACTGCTTTCATCATTGCATTTAGCACTCTGTCATTAACAGGTTGATCCAACCTTGAGGATTTCAAGAGTATTGTGGGGTTGTTTAATGCTACCTGTACATACTGACATATTTACTTTTTTCTGTTTCGTTTTGGTCTAACATAGACCTTAGTTGCAGTTACTCTTGGGCTACACAAAACACAAAAAATTTTAGAAGTCTTTCACCTTCCTTTCAGTGGTTAACAAAAAGTGGTAATAAACCTTTAGAATCTTTCTGACTGCAAATCTAGGATAGCCTAATGCTTTTTTATTAACAAATCATTAAGCCTGTTTTAACATACTTCTTCAAGCTTATTTTACTTTCAGTGCTAACATCTGTTAAAACTGTAAAGCATTTGATGGAGTAGAAGTTAAAGTATAACAATGTAAAACTGAGTCAAATGCAAAGATTAGCTGATGATTGGCTTTCTCATTTAAGTTGTAGGCTTTGATGTCAGACAGCGTTGTTCTGCTCAGTGGAGTTTAAGCAGAGCCTGAGTTATAGTGAAGGGTAGCAAGGTTTTGTTAGCAATATTTGCTACCTGCATTTCCATTTATTTTTACTGAGGACAAATGAATGTGTAAAGAAGACAAAGTGAGTGAACCGTGAAATATGTGAAGCCCAAGAGTTATAACCTTTAGTCTCTAGTAACTGAAATCTGGAATTTTCAAGCTTTGTGAAAGGTCTCCATGCTTGTAATTTCTTGTCACTGAAGTCAGTTTTCCTTTACACTGTAATACATTGAATGCTTTGTGTGTCATAATATACATGTATCTTTGGAAAATTTTTACCAAAAATTAGTTGTGGAGTTTGAACAGAGCTTCTTAGGACTGTTTTCCCTACTAGTGTCCTTAGGTTGTTTTCTCTTACAGACTTATAT